TCTGAAAAGAGAGGTGTGCTGTGATTGGCCAGCTATCCAGTGCGTTGTGATTGGCCGAATTCCTCAAGCGTGTGACGGAAATGTTACGTCCCTCACCATATTGTGATGCCTGCGGCAACCACATGTGACGACCCCGGGCTGGACTCCGCTTCGTCCACGGTGAAAGCCGATCCAGCGATCAGCAGCGCGAAGTTGATGTATTCCCTCATCGACCAGCACGGATCAGCTCCAGGCATGACGAAGCAGATATCGTCCTCTTTTGGAAGACCAAACAAAGTAGTTACGCTTTCACAACGAAACACACAGCGCCTTCACGACATGGCAGCGGCGGCGGCAACAACAATACTACAGCGAGAATAAAAGTTATGCCTTCTTTCTTTGCGTGAACATTTGGTCGGCATTATGCAAATCTTCCCACATCGTGACGTAGACATGTGGGGGTGTGTTAGAACGAGCCGTTTTAGGTAGACGTGGCTGACTCTTAACTTTTATAAAGAATATCTCTTTGGATGTGAGACTTTAGTCTTTGCAACTTTACAGATCTTCTTTATGCACCAAGAGCTTGTAACACTCCAAAGAGAAAGGAAACATTGAAATCGCATCATATGACCCCTTTAAAAACTTTCTTTTTTTTAATGCGAAAGTTAAGGGAACATTCCATTTTATCATTTTGCAAACATTATGGGAACACATTCTACACATTCTTAAATAGGTAACATTTGAAAAATGTTAAACGAACATGCAGCTAAAATGTTTCAGAAAAAACGTTCCGTGGACGATGTAGGCTATATATATATATCTTCTTCTTTTTTTGTGCTAACATTTTGAGAACATTATTAAAGAACAACTTTGAATAAACGTTCTGTTAACGTTACTGAAAGAATGTTTATTCAGAAGTTTGAGAGGAACCTTCCCAAAACGTTCTGAGAACGTTCCCTGTTAGTTGGGTTTCTAGGAGATAGGCTAGATGCGTCTTACTGAGTATCTTTACATTTCATAAGGTTGAACAATCCGATAGTAAAATCCTTTGTGGGAAACTTACGGTAAATTTGTTCATATAATTATTGATCTTCGTGGTTTTGCGCGAAACATTCTAAAAGCGTAACGTCAACGTGATTTAGGCTATAGTGTAGCCTATAATTAAAGACAATGATATCGGAGGACAAAATTCGGTAGGCTACACAACCTTTTTTGATTGATAATTCACACTATATACAGGCAAGAAGGTGAACCCCGAATATGAACGCAACACAAAAAAGATAACGTTAACCGTTTCCCACATTAAAACAAAACCATTATAATGAAAAGGCTTAACGTTGAAGGACCATAAGCGCCTTTATATTCTGGGTTCATCTGTTTGCCTGCATGCTGTAGCATACCTATCGTCAACTAAGTAGCCTATACTGAATTTGGGTTTCACTTATCTTAATACTTTAAGCCACGTTAAGCGTTTTCTTAATAATGATTTTTAAGGGAAACGCTTAACTTTAGGCATTGCGTTATATCTGCTTGCCATGCCTGCATATACTCATTGTCAGTAATAGCTTACTGATTTCAGTGCTCCTTTCACGGTCTTTGTGCATTAATTGCACCTTCTCACATTATCTGCGTTGATTGTGGGTGAAAATCAGCGGAATTATGTCGATATGATTTTAATTTGGTAAGTACATCGAATAAACCAAAACACGGATCACAGCAGCACGCAAGCGGTAGAACGGTAAATGAGGGGCGCTGGAATTCCCTGGAAATCTGCGGAACTTTCTGTGGAATTCTGTTGGCGCATATTCCGGGAAGGACTAATTATGAGTGTTATTGGGCGCATTTCTCGGAAAACACTATTTAAGTACTCTCATTATGTTCTAGGTGTATGTGCATGTGTAGATCACGTTACTATATACAGGGCTTTACATCATACTACTCAGCAATGACCCGATATTCTCGTGTATCTCAAAAGTGACTCATCGCTCTAATACGTCTTTATCGCTCAGAGAGAGACCACCTTTTCCCGTCTTTCATTTCCATTTCTTGGCAAAAACAGTCGCGCTCCTTCCTCAGCGCGCGCGAACTCTCGTGGCGAATCGTGCTCGGTGCAGAGCTAAAGGGACGAACGGAGTTTGGCAAGCCATTTTAACAGTGCCGTAGCTGGGGTTTGAGGGCCCCGGTGCAGGTTGTACCCGTGGGCCCTGTTTGAAATTGTATAAATGGAACAAATATACAAATTAAGTTTTTTCAAGTTTGTAGGTGTCCAGGTACTGAAACTGAAAAATCAAATGTAGCATTGCGTAGTCTTCACTGTATAAATTAAATATAAATTAATTCTTGTTAAAACTACAAAGTAATTCAGTAAAGAGCAATGAGTTATTTTCTCCCATTTAATTTCTTGGATTAACATTAAGGACACTGAATGCAGCTAGTAAATTAGGCGCGGTCACTTTAAGAGACAATACATCCAATATAATGATACACATTCGATTTCTTTCTCAACTGTTTACTTTCACTTAAGACATAACCGACCATTTTTTCGAGGATACTCGCAAAGACAGGTATTGTGACAATTTTGTATGCATGTGTCGTTTCAAGAGCAAGAGCAGACAAAACTCAATTCAGTGCTCAAGGACTGTGAGACGCGGCTCTCTGCGTGAGCACAGAACAGCGTGCGGGTGCTGAATTAAGCTTTTCATGTCTTTTTGTGTTTGTATGTTTAAACTGGTGAGGTGTATATGTTTGTTCAGGCACAGGTGGAAGCGAAAAAGAGCTTGGTTCGGTGTTGCTGTCCATGAGACTGTGAGACTCTGTGTGCACCGAACTCGGCACACGAACACTCAGTTGAATTTTTCCGCGTCTTGTGTTTGAATGCTTTAAACTGTTTTGAATGTTTAAATTGGCAAGGCTTAAAACACGTGCAAATGATAAGCTTTAGTGACGACGCGCAGGCCGTCTTTTTATGCAGGCCTCCGGCAGTCGGTTAAAATCGCCGGGGGGGGGGGCGCCGTGGGCCCCTATAATCGTCACCACCTTTCACTCCACCAGCGACGGCCCTGCATTTTAACATTCTTTCTTTAAAACAAACTAGTATTTATTCTACTTATTTTTGATTGCAAGTTAAATTAATATCTAATGTAGGCTAAGTCGTTTTATTATACTGATCCATATCAGGAATCTCAATCATTACTTATTTCAAATTGATATTGTTCATCTTTACCAAAACAATTGAGTAAGTTGGATGCAATTAAAACTTTAATTGCTCTTTTTATTCCCTTCAGAGACCAGCTCTTAGTGATGACGATTTGGTGCATTTCTTTGGTGAAATACATGTTTGTGTATGTTTTATTTAATCTATAAAATCGTTATTGTGATATAAATAATTTTATGCAAAGCTAAATGGACACAATGTCAGTCATCTAAACTAGTCTCGCATCAGTCTTTTCGCATGGAGGAAACGTCTGATGTTGAGCTTAAAAGAAATGTTTTTATTTATCTTTTTTTTCCCCCAAAACTTACTTTACCTTAACTTATGGGTCTACTCAGTTTTATTTGTCATGATACCAAATGTAATTACTTAGATCTACTTATTTTTTTTACTTAAATTTACTCAGTTCCTACGGTATATTACAATTGATTTCACTGCTTTAAAAATTACTCAGTATTTTTAAGTGTAAAAAAAAATGTAAGTGCCAAATAGTAGAATTATTAGTGTGTATACCAGTTGTTGCTACTATCTATACTAGTCAACATTGGATCAAAACCTTTCATCAAAGTTCATCCTTTCATCCTAAAACCAAAATGTGTTCTTGTTTTAGGACAACTTTGATTAACTTTTTTGATCCACTTCAAATGTTGACTACTGTAGTAATTTTTTTATTGAACTATAAATCATCAAGTCTACACATAAAAACTAGTGAAGAACTAGTATCCATCTAATAACAACTGCAATATTACTGGTAACTAGAGAAATATAATGTTAACCAATTAACATGTACTAACTAGTGACACTAAAAAAGGAGACTAGCCACCATTACACTACTAACTAGTAAATACAAATGTAACAATAACAGACACTCTTTAAAAGAATACATGTAAACACGGCTTGCCATAGACGGAGAAGTGGGTGAGCGCGAGCGCGTGCACGCGCCAAGCCAAGCCAGTGCGTGCATGTGTCGCAGATTTTAAAACTCAGAGAGAGCTGGAACAGCGGCGGACCCGAGGGTGCACCAAGAGTACCGGCGGCTTTAAATCCTAAAAGAAAAACACTCTTAAGAGTTTACGCAGAATAGTTAAGCGACATTTCATCACCTGAAGAGTTTTCAGATAAGAAACTCTGTTTGCTGCACTGGATGATCTCATGAACATGGAGCTGTCATCAATAGGAGAGCAAGTGTTTGCTGTGGAGTCAATAACGAAGAAGAGAATAAGAAAGGTAAGGACGTTGCTGGTGCTGCATATAAAATGCACTTCGGTCAGTTGCTTTGATGAAATATATTTTGCACACACAGTTTACTTTCTGTTTTGAAATGATTATTACCTCCGAAGTCCGCACAGCTTTCTTCTGTTGCCAGTTCAGGAATGACTCACGGGTGAATCATACCTAAGCTTGCGTAACATTTCGGAACTTTTTTCGTTGCGTGGCTCTTCGTGTGCAAACCACTGCGGTGACTTGTATGTTATTGTCTGAAGTTTGTGAATTTGTCTAAGGTCTGGCGCTTGAATCGCGAGCGCTAGAGATTGGGGGGGGGGTCGTCACCATCGCGCAGTTTATTTGTACGCGCGCAGGGTCAAGGATGATGCGTGTAACATCCGCGCAGTTGTCAAAATAATCGGACCAGTTAAGACCTATGGTTAAGACCAACGGCAGCATAGACAAGATTAAAGATGTTTAAATAGCGATAAATAAAATAGGTCGTTTATTAATAGAGCACCCACGAGCAAGTATCTATCTGGTAGGTGTTTGTGTTATTTATTTATTATGTTGTCTGTGGTATAAACTTACAGCCAGATGTACACTAATAGCTAGAGATGCTGATGATGACTAACGCTGCATGTGCACGCGGGTTTCGTTTCGTGCGCTCGAGCATGGGGGGGGGGGCCTTCACAGCTCCACACGTTGCACAAAACGAGTTGTTTACGCGTTTCCATGGCCCCACCTATTTCCATCCCATATGAATGTTCCTGAAACTCGCCGGGTTTTGTTTCGTAATGGAACTCGCGAGCTCACTCTCTATGACATCACGCGAACGCAGCGCCGCTTCCCTCCTGCATAATCTGTGATGTCAAAACACTACCCAGCTCCACACGTTGCACAAAACGAGTTGTTTACGCGTTTCCATGGCCCCACCTATTTCCATCCCATGAATGTTCCTGAAACTCGCCGGGTTTTGTTTCGTAATGGAACTCGCGAGCTCACTCTCTATGACATCACGCGAACGCAGCGCCGCTTCCCTCCTGCATAATCTGTGATGTCAAAACACTACTGAGCGCTGACATCTTAAAGAGACAGGCTTGCTTTTTCAAAAGCTGTGGGATGTCTTGTATCGTGGGTTTGCTGAGGATTGAATGGTGACGTATGTCACGTATAAAAGTGAAAGTGACTTCTTTTATTTCTTTCACTTTCTCATTTCAGGGAAATGTGGAGTATCTGCTAAAGTGGCAAGGATGGCCGCCTAAGTAAGTTCTCATGTAAGATTGGACAGTAATTGTATCAAAGACAAAATACGGCCTACAACAAGGACACAATATGTGGGTGAATCCCACAAAAGCATGTTAAGGTCGCGTTTCACCAGCCCCCCCAAAAAGATTAGGTTAAACATGAGAAAATTAGATATTGGATGAAAACACAGCATCATATTATTATTTTCGCTCATGTCATGTATTTTATGGCTGAATCTCACAAAACTTGTTAAGATCATGTCCTGATCATATTTAATTGATATCAAAGAAAAAAACAACAAATTGTATTCTGCATGAAGATAATGAGCCCTAATTTTAGGAACATAAAGATGATGTGCGATGCAACATTACTTTACTAACAATTCCCATTGTTGTTATTTATATATTTATTTAATACAATGTTTGATTGTTTGTTTATTAATTGGCATAACATTAAATACTGTCATTATATATATATACTTTACATTATTATTGTTTTTCACTATTACAGTAATGAGATCTAGATTTTTTCCCAATTAAGACAAATGAGACTTAAATATTGTGGAAATGTTGCAATGCTTATTTCTTTTGATTTTGGGATGAAATATGAGCCAGGTATATTCTTGACAGGTTTTAATCAAATTCACCAAAAGAGAAGACAATGTGGTGCTCTGTTAAAAATATTAATACGTTTTTTTTTTTCAGCTTATTGGTTTTCAAACAAAAAGTAGCTCTGAACTATTTGAAGAAAATGTATAAACCGAAAATTACTGTAGATTGTAAATTTGAATTCCGGGGCAAAAAATGATCTGAGCTTGAAACTCTTTTAGCCATGTGCTGCTCCAATGATCTGTTTGGGACTGTCTGTGTGACTGTCAGGTACAGCACCTGGGAACCAGAGGACAACATATTGGACCCTCGTCTTGTCCTCGCCTATGAAGAAAAGTAAGTCACACTCGGGGAACCTTCGGTTACTGGTGGGGAGATGAATAAGCTGGAGGCAACGGGTTGATCTTTCCTTTCCATCTCCCAATTCCTTTGCATATCTCTCTCTTTCTAACAGAGAGGAGAAGGAAAGAGCTCTGGCTTATAAGAGGAAAGGCTTGAGACCCCGTCAAGTTATTCTGCGGGTATGAGTTATCTCTTCACTATTTTGATGTCCAGTATGAAACTTAATTGATTATGATGATTTTCTTTACTGTAATGCACAAACTCTGCATTATTTTCCCTAAGACAATATTTGAAGCCTCATCCAGCTGTTGTGTTATGAGTATGCAGCTTCTGTAACAATAAGTACCGAGGCCAAAGATTTTATATCGATTCATAGATCATATATCCAACAATCTGATACGCATAATAAAAGATATCTGATGGACTAAAATGTCCCAGGATCTGAACTTAGCATCCACAGGGTACTGTACTTGACTTGCTGACATGGTTCAGAACAGTTCTCTGTAAGTGCATCAATGGAGCAATCTAGATGGCAAGATAATGTACCGCAGAAGTTGTGAAGACACTCCAGTATTTCAGAAAGAGCAATCTAACCTAGCCAGTATATGTGACATCTGATAAACACTGCATAATCTCAACTTTCCAACAGAACCTCTACGCAATGGACCTGCGAAGTAAACACAAGGTTCTAGGTAAACCCACCCAGAGAATCCGCCTGTCACTCACCCGCTCCATGGGGACAGAAATAGACCAGAATGGGCGGCGCTGCCAGCGCATAGAGAAACGCAAGAACAGCCAGTGCAGGTCCAAACTCATGAATGGCATCAAACCATTCCAACAACCAAGAAGACATCCACGTCTTCCAAAAGACTCAGAGAAAGAGTGGGATGGAGACGAGGAAGATGAGCAGAAGAAAAAGGTGAAGAAGATGAGAACAAACGAAGAAAACACAACAGAAGTGCACCAGGACATTCCAAGTGGTAGGTGTTGTGTGGCATCAATGCGACAACTGTTGCTAAGATACTCTGCGAATAACATATTCAGGGGTCATGAGGGCCATTATGAAAAATCGTGCCAGATATTTCTGAATCACTGTGACAACTGGCCAACACGTGTTTAATGTGACTGAGAAATACTCAGCTGTGAAAATTCTCCCAAAAATGACAATGTAGCATGTCATTCCAATGATACTTTGTCCTCTGCAAAACGCTATAAGTAGTTTTGTTTTAGTAACTCTTTCATACAATGAAAGTGAATGACTATCAAACATAAAAACTGGACCAAAAACACAAATGCATCCCATACGAAGTTTGCCAAAAATCTAAAGACTTCTGAAGCCATTTCACCTTTTGTGTGAGGAATGACTCATTTAAATAGTTGAAAATCTATTTAACCCTCAATTATAGCACTCAAATCTCATTCAAGTACATTTAAACTTGCCATTTTAATACATTTAGTTGTCATTTTTGATGTCAGAGATGTTGAACATTGGTTCTTACGTTTTGCGATTGATCGTCATTGATGTAAAACCAAACGTGACGTGAGATTTTCAGAGCTGTGTTTCCCAAAATCATCATAAGCCCAAGTAGATTGTGGAGACCATTGGTGCCAATGGTTTCTACAATCTACTTGGGCTTACGATGCGTTTGGGAAACGCAGCCCAGGTCGATTTGCTTGTCATTTTATAAAATACATTCACAAAGTAGCCTATACAACTCATGCGATTCCAATTCTTTTGAAGTTACACAGTAGAAACAAAGTGATATTTATAGTTATTCACCAAAATCTTCCTTTCTGCTGTAGCTTTTTGAAGGTCCTTTTGCTTTCGAGTACATTCAAACTTGCTTTTAAATATGCATCACAGCAGGTTTTAAGTCAGTGAAGATTATTGAGGCTAAAAGTTTTTTGACATATCTTGAAGCAAAGTAGTTCATATGTGTTTGGAACGAATTTAAGGTCACTAAATAACTTTCCGTTTTAGTTGAACAATTTCCTTGAACGTTCTGTCGTTTTCCGTCAGGTCAAGAGATGTCGGAGGGGTACAACTCTTCGGCAGAACATGAAGCTGTAATCACTATCAAGGAAACTGAGAACTGCTCTTCCATTTTTGACCATGCCGAGAAGCCAAGAGAGGATACAGGTCCAGTTTTAGGAGCAACAGTAAACAGTACAATCACCAACACACAAGAGAACGAGCCAGTTACAAACACTGCAGGGGATGAGGACTCTGACACTGACCAATCACTACACAACAGCACCAAGTCAGGAGCCGAGCAAGGTGTGTTTGACAAAGTACCGAACAGACCTTTGGTTATCGAGGTACATTCAAGCGCTAAATGTAGACAGGACAAGGTAAGTGAAAGGGGCGAGCTAGACAGGTCAGAGGCCAAAGAAAAGGAAGGGATGGATGCTGTTGTTACAGCAGAATGCACAACAACACTACAGGTCCCAATTGACCAGTTGCATACTCCCACCACCACCGCAGTGCATCCTGGGAAAGTCATTGTGACTCAGGGAAAAAAAAGTATTAAGTCCAGTTTGTGTTTCCTTTGTACAGTACAAAATATTCAAATAAAACTCCCAAAGTTCAGAGCAAAGAAAATTGTGGAAGTGGAGGAAAAGTAGGAGTGGTACTGAAGGAGGATGAAAACGGTCAAATCAGTGGCTCGCCTCTCCTTCTCCATCGTTTCACTGCTCCATACAGTTCATATGTGAAACTCTGCTCAATATGATATTGGCGAGAGCAGAACAACTCTGGCACCACATCCAATACACACACACACACACACATATATACACAAAACTTTCAGCCAACCAGTACAGACACCTCCACTATCCAGTAAGTCTTATAAGGAGTGCACAAACATTCTGAGGGTGGGTGTGTGCGTCTTAAGAACTTGTCCTGTTGCAAAAGAAGTGAAGTCCAATGGAATTTCCAAAATGGCATGAAATGAGATCCATTGGGCAGCGGAGCGCACACCAAACCCGATCCCCCAACACTGTAATTTATATTATACTAAATAACCTAAATCTCCAGCTGAAGTAAAGGAATATCTCCCCATTTTAATAGGTATTAACAAAAATATATTCTATGTGAACTGTAGCAGTCTCTGGGAACACACATGAACAAAATCCATTATGACAACAAATGAAAAAGCTAGAATAAATAAAATGCAAAACTCAACATTTACAAGGAAGATATGCATGATGTTCCGATAATTATAATAATATAGGCATCACAAGGTTTGAAATGTTCCATATGACTCCGTTAAACACATAACAGAGACTGGTACGTGGTGAAACAATACATAAAAAAAGTCCTTAATCATTTGCGCTTTCATTTTATACCACTTTTAAAATCTTAAAAAATATCTCTTGAAAAAGGAAAAGTACTCCCCTGGACCTGACGTTGAAAATATTACTTGTGGTTTGTTCTCTGAGGCTGAGAAACAATCCTCTCTTTGTACACAACTGGCAAAGGAAAAAGAAAAAAAAACACACCCCCGATACTTATTTGCCATCTCTCTAGGCGGGTCCATTTTCAAAGCATTTATGATGAAAAACACTAAACTCATCCTTGTAGTATAAAAAAAAAATCTAACACTGTCTCTGGTGAGGTTTTGTGAATTCCATAATAGCTATATGATGTCTAAAGTGTTATTCCTGTTAATGGCAAGGTCCTGGCCACTAGGGGGCAGCATATCATTAGCTCCAGGTCCGCGGAGTCCTGCCAAGCCACTGAGCTGAGACAGCATGGCGTTCTGATCTGCACCAAATCCACTTGGGTCCTTAGAGTTGTGCTGTGGCTGTTGGGGAGGTGGAGGAGGTGGAGCCATGCCTGAGTGATGCTGCTGAAGGTGGCTAGGATGCGGAGAACCCGTTTGGGTCTGAGGAGAGATGTGGTGGGGTGAGGGCTGTGGTTGCAGGCGCGGGGATGGACTTGAGTGAGGTGGCTGGGACTGGGGTCGCGGGGAGGGCTGGGGGGAACAGACCTGGTTGCTGAGGGTAGATGGGAGCTGTTGGCCCTGCAAGTGGGGCGATTGAGACATCTGATGCTGCTGCGGGCTCATGGGGTTGTTCTGCTGTGCCAGCGAGGTGCCACTGAGATGTTGCTGCTGTTGAAGGATACACTGATGCAAGGCCTGTTGCAATAATGCCTGTGATGTCTGAAGACTGGGGCCTCCTTGCGTGGGCTGTGGACCTCCTCCGTGCCCCACATCGGGACCTTGCGATGCCGCATTCTGCTGCTGTTGCATCTGTTGCTGGTGTTGCTGTGCAAGCCTCTGTTGCAAGGCAGCTGCAGCTTGCGGTTGCGCAGGGTTGCCTGGAAAACTCTGCTGCTGGCCAGGTTGCACACCTTGTAGCGGTTGACCACCTGGCGGGACTTGCATGTTACCCTGCTGACCCATGTAAACTTGCTGCTGTTGAAATGCTGCGTGATTACTTATTTGTTGCTGCTGCTGCTGCTGTTGTTGTTGTTGTTGTTGTTGTTGTTGCTGCTGAAACTGTAGTTGCTGTTGCCTTCTCATGACCAGATCTCTAAACTGTGGATTCATGTTGGCCATGTTTGTAACCCCCTGACCCTGAATTCCTTGCTGTTGTTGTTGCTGCTGCAAGGCAGCAACTTGCTGCTGCTGCTGTTGTTGTTGTTGTTGTTGTTGCTGCTGAAACTGTAGTTGCTGTTGCCTTCTCATGACCAGATCTCTAAACTGTGGATTCATGTTGGCCATGTTTGTAACCCCCTGACCCTGAATTCCTTGCTGTTGTTGTTGCTGCTGCAAGGCAGCAGCTTGCTGCTGCTGCAAGGCAGCAGCTTGCTGCTGCTGCAAGGCAGCAACTTGCTGCTGCTGCTGTTGCAGCTGCTGATGTTGCAGCTGCTGCTGCTGCTGCAATAGCGGCCGCTGTTGCATTTGCTGCTGCTGTTGGAGCTGAGGAAGTTGAGTCTGCATGTTAACACCCTGTCCAAGGTGCATGCCAGGCTGGGACACCCCAGTACTGACACCCACTGGCTGGCCTCCCATAGGTCCTGGCCCACCCTGTGGTACAGCGGGGCCACCAGTACCTACTTTATACTTGTGAACCCGCTGCTTGATAAATGCTGCCATTAGTTGTGGGTTAGACCGAAGAATATTGAGGACTTGCTGCTGCTGTAGAGGAGAGCTTGGAGATCGCAGGGTCCGCAAAAGATCCTGCAGGGCTCCCTGAGGCAGATTGCCAGCTGCTGCCCCACTTGCTACGCCACTCTGCAGACTAGCCTGCACCATACTCATCAAGGCGTTTCGATTCAGCATTTGGGGTGCTTGCTGTTGTTGCATTTGTTGTGATTGTTGCTGTTGTGGTTGTTGCGGTTGCTGCTGCTGCTGCTGCGGAGGGGGCTGCATTGCGACCATTCCCGGTTGAGCCATCATGGCAGGTCTCTGCTGGGTTGGCATACCCTTCCCCGGCCACTGTTGCTGCTGAAGCTGAAGTGGTGGGTTCATTCTCGGCTGCTGTAGATGCATTTGGGGTGGCATTTGGCCTTGCACAACTGTCTGTTGGGGTTGCTGCTGCAGCTGCATGGGCCCAGCTCCGACCATCATTCCCTGAGATCCTTGCTGCTGCTCCATCTGCACTCTGTTCGCTGATGCTTGTGCCTGCGAGGCTATTCCTTGTGGCCCTACCATGCCAATCCCAGGGTGGGCTACTCCCATCTGTCCCTGTGGCTGCTGATGGTGCTGCGGCATCATGCCAGCTTGCGCAGCCTGCCTTTGTAGCATCTGAACCTGTGCCATCTTTCGCTGTGCATCTGCCACTTGCTGGATCTTCATGGCTATCTCCACAGCTGCAGGTGGAGGACCTGAAAGTTGCTGTTGCTGGGACATAGGTGCTGTGCCTGGATTGCTGGGGAGTTGAGGAGGAGTTGCAGGACCAAGGCTTGGCTTACCCTGCGACTGTGGATTTGGGGAAGGGCCTGTGGAATGGGGACCATATTGATTGTGTGGATGCGAGAGTTGTCCCACAGGTTGTTGAGGAACCATTTGTTGCTGCGGTGAGGTCATCATTCCGCCTGCACCTGGCATCTGCTGAAACTGGTGGTGGACGGGATGCTGAGGCGGCTGCTGGGGAGCTCCAGGTGGGACTCCACCCACACCAGGCTGGGGCAGAGACGTATGGTTGGGTGTCAGCTGTGTGGGCGTCTGAGGGGTTGCAGGTTGCGTACCGACCGAAGTAGGTGTGCTAGGACCTGTGGCTCCATTATTGCCGGGGGATGGAAGACCTCCAGGAGGCCCACCACCACATGGTGGTGGCTGCCCTGCTCGTTGCATGGTGGCCATACGTCTACGCAGCATTTGCGCTTGTTGAAGCCTGTGTTGCAGCTGCTGCTGACGAAGCTTGTGCTTGATGTTGAGACAGAAGGGCACAGGACACTTGTTTTCCTGGCAGTGCTTAGCATGATAGCAACATAGTGCAATGAGTTGCTTGCAGATGGGACAGCCACCATTGGTCTTGCGTTTGCAGCCCTTGGTATGTTGCACTACTCTCTTCATCTTCTGGCAAGATGGCAAAGAGCAATTAGCATTGCGACACTGGCATGCATGCACCAGTGACTGGATGCAGCGTTGGATGCTTAGACGACGCGAGTCACCAGGGTTCTGTGTGGCGGCTGCAGCTTGGTTGTTGCTCTCGTCATCAAGACCCAGTCCAAGTTTATCCATCTTGTGCTCATGGCCCTTAATGTTGTAGCAAGTGATGCAGAGATCATAATCCTACAAAAAAAGAGAGAAGGGGGCGTTTCAAAAGTTGCTTAGCGTTTTATCTAAAAAAACATGCACCACAATACAGCATTTTTAGAAACCCTCTTCAAAGACATGCCAAGTATCATACATCCCACATGGCATTTCTTACCTCACAAACAGTGCAGTGAAAGCGTGTCTCAACGTGGTGCTTGCATTCATTGCACGTGTAGACAAAGCGGTCCTGGCTCTGATTGTGCAGTTCTACTAACATACACATGGAGCTCCATTTGGCCCGCCTCAGCGAGCTGAATTCAAGGTGCTTGTCTCGTGCAAGCGTTAGGAAAGCATCTCGTCCATCCATCAGATCGCAGGCCATCAGGGGGTCATAGTCCAAAATGGGTGGAAGGGAATTGACAGAAGGGCCAGCAATGAGACGGATGACAAAGAAAACCTTGAAATTAAGCAGAGTGTTGACATTTGTGAGTTCAGTCCATACGTGTAAATGACAAATGCTTCAAATGTTTTTGGGAGCTACATACCTCTTTGTGTTTCTCCATAGTAGCATAGAGTTTCTGGGATAGATCATTTGAGACATTTGGCATGCCCGGTTTCTTTTTATTGGCTCGGCTCAAGCTGCTCTTGTTCTTGCTAGTCTTCTTGCTGTTCTTTTTTTTGGCATTCTTGCTGTCACCATTGGTAGCCTAGACAGTCAAAAAACATTGCTCTTAAGCATTACGTTATAATAATTAGGTTTTAAGAGTACATATTAAAGCAGCTGCACTAGAATTAATTTTACCATCAAGTCAGAAACAAGAAAGCACAGTAGCTGTCTAAAAGCACAAAGGATGTGTTCAGTTTTTCTAGAAGCACTTTTTAAAGTTACTTAGCTTACACAACAAATGTTTTCCTTTGGCACTTGAGTATGTTTTTCCTCCAGTACAAAATGGTTACAAATCTGAGTCAATCACTCACGTCAATGCTCTCACTAGAGGTGTTGTTTTCCTCTCTCTTCCGTTCTTCCTCCTCCTGTTCCAGCTCTTTAATGCTCTCCTCCAACACATTAGGCCAGAAATCACCCTCAAAATATGGGAGCTCCTTCGCACTGGTCAGACGATCCTCTGTTGCCTGCTTAAAAATGTCCTGGGTGAGGAGAAACATGCAATAGTTAGCGAAGTATTTCAAATAGATAACACATTGCGGTCAACAAGCCAAACAAGGGAAAAGACTATAGTGCAGTATGCTGATTATTGTCAGCCGAAGTACAGCTGTCACAGTACCTTGTAGTCGTGTATAATTCTCTCAGCTACTGCTTTGTCAAGCATCTTCTTGTACCATTCTTGTAGGCGTTTAGGTTTGGGAATCTTCTGATCCGATGGATGGCAGTGGAAGATGTAGTCGTCACCTTCACTTGGAGGACAAGCCCATATGTGGCCAGTGACAAACCCCATTTTTTTAACATACTCCAAGTATCCAATCAGGATCTCATGATAGACTCCGGTTCTCAGGTGACGGGGTTGGAAAAAGTGCACACTGTCAAGGTAGGAGATGTACACACGTCTGCATGGAGATAGAGAGACAGAGGATATTGCTAAGTTACTTGTGTTTCTCAGACCCTCTTGTAATGTTATCCACATGAGGGAAATTCTGTGTGTGCCTGGAGATGTGTGACTGTCTGTCTTTGTTATTTTTAACCTTTGATTGGGTGGAGGGCAGTCGGAGCCGTATTCTTGCACATGCATTCCAAAGAAGCAGACATCTGTCCCATCAATATCTTCAAATGCAAACAGAGCTTTTGTCCTGTACGGGAATGACTCTGACATTTCTCCGCTATCAACAAACCTGTAAAAAACAGTAAATTCTTTAGCTCTTTTCATGGTATCCATTAAAAATCTCTTTTTCTTCTTTTTTTTTTTTTTTAAAGGAATTTTTTTATTATTTGTACAGTTTCAGAATCAAACCTTAAAATGAACAACATTTCAGAATATTCCAAGAGGGTCTAGCTGCAGCCTTGCACTTGCACTTGCACTCTGACACTTGCGCTTCCGCTAGCGACGTCACTTGCAGTCTTTTATTTTTTTATTTTGTTCTATTTATTGATTACTTTTTGTTTGAATCTCTCAACATTTTACAACAGTAGCCAGGTGGTGAAGACAAGAAAAAAGAAACTAAATTACAATGTCTCTTGCAATCGTCACTTGCACTCTCCGATACCTGCGACGTCACTTGCAATCGACACAAATGGTGCGTGTTGCCAATGGAGACAAGACGCTGTGGTGATTAAACGATTACAACTAATTTTATACTATAACATACAGGGTCCTGCAAGAAAAAGACAAGACCACAAATCCGTCGCCACAGAACAGCAGAATATGAACGCAATGCACAAAGTCTCTCGTTAAGCGTTTTCCTCCTGTAGAAAAACAAACACTTTAACATGGCGTAATGTATTAAGATACATTAAGTTCAATTAAAAGATCAAATTCGATATATAGTTATTTAATGTACTACAAGGCAAGCAGATGGCTATGAACAATGCGCAAACTTTCACTTGTCCTCCCATACAGCAAAACGCTTAATGTGGCATAATAACAGACTATGATAAAGACAATACAGTAGCCTATATGTCTTGTTGTTGACTCAAAGTATATACAGAACAGCAAATATGAACGTGCATTATGAAATGCATTATGTGATTTTAAAAGGATCAACTCCATACAGGCAAGCAGACGAGCCCAGAACGCAATGCGTTAAATTGCACGTTAAACATTTTCCTCCTATAGAAAATTATCATCAATAAAACACGTAATGTAGCTTAATGGACAAAGACAATGATATAAAAGAGCTGTTGACAGTTTATTCTATATGGAAAAACGCTTAACACGAAACTGTGTGTGTTGCATTTATTCTGGGCTCACCTGCTTGCCTGTATATTAGTTATGTATATTAATAATGTAGAGGAGCATATTGAGTTTGGCCTTTTTTGGCTACAAAAAGTAATAAAAAATAGAACAAAATAAAAAATAAAGCCTGCAAGTGACATCGCTAGCGGAAGCGCAAGTGTCAAGAGTGCAAGTTTGAGAGTGCAAGTGCGAGGCTGCAGCCAGACCCTTCTTGAATATTCTGCTCTGTCTCTCACCTGGACTTCATGCCAGGTTTGACCTCCACCACTTTATCAGAGACATGAACCACACGGATGGTGACATCACCAGTTTCTGGATGACTCTGGCGCTTCAGGTACTCGTTCACTCGTGTCTCCAGGAAGTTACCAAGCTTTGTCTGAGGAAGTCCTGGAATAAGGAGAAAGAAATGCAGGGAGTTTAAAATAATGCAACCATAGCAGTTTACAATACATTATGACAATTCATTAACATAAAACAGTGCAACACACCATATTCACTCAAGATCTGACATAAAAAAAATTTATTACACGGCTCTCAGAAATACTTGTTTCTCATCAGTCAAGCATGGAATTCTATGCACAAAAAAATTCAACAAAAGAGATTCTACCCCCCCCCCCCCCCCCCGATTTTAAAGCTCTTAACCACGTACTCTTTGCAGTGTATTTATTCTCCTTCCTTGTTGCACTGGCCTTTTTCAGACAGCCGTCACAAACAAACCTGAACGAAAGGAAGAAATACAGAGCAGGATATTTGGAAACAGAGCATCACATCTCTGGATATGTGGTTAACTTTGCATTTATAGATACAATACGGAATAGTAATAATCAAAAAGTAGTAGTAACAAAGAGCATTAAGTTGTCCTACATCTTCCATATTTACAATTGCCACAAAGCTCTGAAAAACATGGAATGGAAGAATATCTTGTTTTAGCGCTAATATATATATATATATATATATATATATATATATAAAGGGGAAATATATTTATCAAGAACTATAAATAACATTAATACAATGTTTTGTTCATTTTATTGCTTTAAATGCATGAATCGGGATTGTATTTAACAGGAAAAACCTTACATTCATTGACGCTCCATTTTTTAAGCCCTATTTTGCAGTAGAATGTGTCACAAAAGTGTGCTCAAATAAAAGTAGCTCACCCCGACGGCCATATTGTCTCATTGTGCAGAGCGCATATCTGATGCATTTTTCGACCACAATCACCACATTCCAACAGTCTGAGGAGAAAGAACAGAAAACAAAAGGTCAGACGATGACAACAAATCAGCACCTTGATTAAAACTTCAGAACAAACGAACCGAGATGACACATTTGGAGGGAGAAAAGTTAAATGTGAAACATACAGTTCAGGGTCGAGGGTGTCATTCTTTTTCCTTTGAAACTGATCTTTATTGATGGACCTGAGGAGAGAAAACGAGAGACAGAGAAGAGGAAGCCGCCCAATCGAGTGGGTCATGAGAATCACTGAACGAACGCTCTCCGGAGGAATAGCATCACGACAATAACAATGAAGGAGAAGATCAAAACACAAACATTTATACGGTTACTCACGTTTGAGGCTGGGTTGGATCGTCCCCCAGGGATACATTCTCCCCCTGGATTTCGTTGAAACATTTCTCACAGAAGTGGTACCTGTCAGCAAGAAGCCCATATTTGGGTGAACTAGACCGTTCGCCAAGAGCACAGCCAATCACAGTGAGGGCACGTGGAAGCAGCCACCAATCAGGGCAGGGCAGGCCAGGAGACAGGCACACAGGAGAAGGCAGGTTCATCGCCGGGAGTAGCCAATCATGAAGCAGGTTTTTTGTGTGGGCAGATTGATTGATTGCGTGTAAATTTCGGAGCGGATGATTGGTCACATCAAAGCAGGCCAATGCAGACATCACAAGCGTTAAAAAAGGAGGGAGAGAAAGGGAGGGGGGGAGGGCAGAATGAATATTTTAAAAAAAGTGAGAAACAAAACCGTTATGAGGGACAAAGAGCTATGTGTTGAACAGGTGGAGGGGTGGGTCAGATGTAGAAGAAGAAAATTAAACCAAAAGAGAGAGCAGGAAGCCGAGGCAAAAGCGCATACGGTCTCCCTCGCGTCCGCTGAGCTCTAAAACAACCGTGACGCCCAGAGGAGCGAGGGACAACAATGGACTGAGTGAACGAACTGAAGAGAAGAATGAGAACAGGAGCAACAGAGACCCATCATCCTTTCAGGACATTTTAAAGAGGGTCCCAAGATTCGCTACTAAAACAACGTGTGACAGATAAACAGTTAGTACGCCCTGTAGTTGGCAGCATGAATGAAGTCTTAGTCGATTTTGAAATACTGTACTTTTAGTCAGTACACTTTGGGTGAATCTCATAAAACATATCCAGGTCATATTTTACCCCAAAAATAATGTTCCTTGCATAAAGCAAATGAAGGACCACTGATATCTGACATTATCATTTTACAAAATTCTTTATTTAAATGCAGCTTAAAGGCATCACAACATAATAAAAAAAATAAAACAACAACAATATATAACATACATTATATATGGCTGTTTTCACATGGGCTTATATTTTATTACCATGTGTTGTCAATCTTTTTTTTTTTAATACACGTTAATACTAATATTATTATTATAACAAGTGTTGTTATATTGTGACTTGACATGTTTTCTGTAGCCTTTTTATATAACGAAAGTAAGGTTCAGCTTAAGTCTAAGGTTGCCAAAGTTATACAAAAACTTAAGCTTTGCACAACCCACGCCGAAACCTCTGATTCTGGTGAAAGTCTTTGCCACCCTATGCGAATAAGAGTTTTGCTGTTAGGATCTAGGATGATGTAACTCAGAAAACTGGCAATGATTTTCACTAAGGCATTAGAGGAAGAGCACTCGTTAATAAGATCGTTTTGCTTCCTTATTAGCACTTTGTTATTTTGTGCTTGCAGCTACCAACTGAGGTAATCAACACAAATACTTGCCAACACACCTGTTAATTGTAAGTGCACCAACAAAACGTCAAAACACAACTGGAGTCAAAAATGCAGACCCTCTTTAAAATGGCCATTTAAAATCAGAAAAAGAGCAGAGATGTGAAATGTGGTCTATTTTGCCACCGAAAGTCAAATCAACAGGCCTGAAATTCAACAACACCCTGATGTGGGAAATATGTGCTCACAGCAGAACAGCATTTACATTTTTACATAGAACATGAAAACAGAACTCTTAAAAATACTCACCTCAATCTTTTTACATACAAATACACAATGTAAACTAAATCTGAATGTGGCAGACGTAGTGGAGCAGTCTAGTGTCTATTAAAGTGTTCAGAAAACAAACAGCTTTCATAATACTTCATTCTAGCACTGGGCCCGCTTCACAGCAGAGCTTTTAATGCTGCCAGGCAACATGAAACTGATTTTAGGCTGAAATACAAATGATCTACCATAGTGTGACGACATGCCTGATGGGGTCAGGCAATTACCCATCAGGCCACATTCACTATGATATAACTATTCGTATGAATATAATAGCTTGCTTCTGTTTGTATGCATAATATAGACTCAATTTAAGTCTCTTTGAACTTTCAAGTGGTTATTCTTACTCTTATACGACTGATAACTCTGTATTTTAATGGCTGTACTGCACAGTATTAAGCTATGGGTGCGAGTGACTGTGTAGAGTGGATACAGTGTGTATAATACTGACCTGTTCTGGTAACTGAAGTACGCAGCGTCTCGAGGGATGGTACACAGCTGTTTGCCATAGCAGCACAGAGTTTGAGGAGAAAACTCCAACTGAAAGAAGAAAAATAGGTATAGAGGGATTAAAAGAGAGAGAAAGAGAGGAAGAGGAGAGTGGGGTAGCAATATCCCATTAGGTTTAGCAAGAAACCACAATCTACTTCATAATGTGCCAAACACTACAACTTAACTGTGGTAAAAACACTGTAATAAGTGTTTTACTGCTTTTATACATGAAATCAGTAATATGGCAGATGACATTTCTTATTGTTTAATAAAAATAATCTAAAAAAACTACAACAACAACAACAAGTAATAGTAGTAGTTATAATAATACATATTTAGCATACATTTAAGACAAGTATTAACTTGTATTGCTTCCTGAAAGGATTGTTGTTGTTGTAATAATAATAAAACAGTATTAATAATAAATGTTGTATATTAATATTTAATACTAATACGTTTGGTAGTATTTTAATACATATTTAACAAAACATTTAACATACTTGCTGGAATTATTCTTTTTATTAACAGTTCTATTGTTAAATAAGTTTGGTATTATAAGGTAGTACATTATAATTAGAGCTGGGCAAGGTAACGCGTTACTCACACTACATGCATACCGCGCCCGAGCCCAACTGAACCGCGCTCTGGGCCACCTCTGGCCCTAATTGAACCGAGCCCGAGCGTGGAACGGAGCGATCACACTAGTCAAACGAACCAGGCTTTGGGGGTCAAACACGCTTGGGCTCGGTTAAGATTGCCTAGTGCGAGTACACCCTTATTCTCCCCCATCCCGCACACGCACACACACACACACACACACACACGAGTATATACACTCGCCCGCACCCGCACTCGCCCATCAAGTGCTGTCTCGCGCTGCGTTGGGTCCCACGATATGCCTAGTGCGAGTACACCCTTATTCTCCCCCATCCCGCACACGCACACACACACACACACACACACACGAGTATATACACTCGCCCGCACCCGCACTCGCCCATCAAGTGCTGTCTCGCGCTGCGTTGGGTCCCACGATAGTGCAGGTCTCTACTCGGAAGGAGCCTGTTATAATGTTATGATCGAGGCTCTGGACTCTGAGCATACCTTGCTTTTCTGTAACAAACTGTCAAATATTTTCTATAAAAACGAATGCCCTGGCAGTGGCAAATAGCTTTGGTTTTAAATTTAATTTGATTACATTAATGTTTAAGTTGAGATTTACAATAAATATTTTAACGGCTGAATACTGCTGTATAAAAAGCACCTTATTTGTTTAAAGTGTTTGCAAATCAAATGTTATTGCACTTCTGTTCATATAGCAGTACTTTTAAATGAAAAAAAAGTGCGTAATACACTACTTTTGATTTCATTATTGAATTTTGTGCATAATGCGATTAAATCGCAGAAAAATCATGCGATTAATCGCGATTTAGTGCGTAATACACTACTTTTGATTTCATTATTGAATTTTGTGCATAATGCGATTAATCGCAGAAAAATCATGCGATTAATCGCGATTTAAAAAAAAAATTTAATCGTTGCCCCGCACTAATTATAATTCATCTTAAGAAGTAGGAGTATTTAACACATTTAAGGCAGAGGTCCCCAACCACCAGGTCGCGACCCACTACCGGGTCGCAAGAACATTCTGGAAAAAATGTGTATAGATATGACACTCTGTTATTTATGTTAATGATTGTTCTAATTATTCAGTATTTTCTTTGTATGCAATTGATATGGAGTAGCAATTTCATGTTAAATAAGTAAATGAAAGATTGCTCCGATTTGTCACATATTAGGAGTTAAACGAACCGCAATTGATCCGTAATACGTATGGATGAGACCCTACCGTTCGGCACGCACTTGATTCGCAGATTAATTTGCCAATTTACACATACAAGCAATTTTAAACCGCAAGAAGAAACAACGAAAGAGAGCTCAATTCGTTACTCATGCGCTGTTCGCGCACACACACACACACACACGAGTATATACACTCGCCCGCACCCGCACTCGCCCATCAAGTGCTGTCTCGCGCTGCGTTGGGTCCCACGATAGTGCAGGTCTCTACTCGGAAGGAGCCTGTTATAATGTTATGATCGAGGCTCTGGACTCTGAGCATACCTTGCTTTTCTGTAACAAACTGTCAAATATTTTCTATAAAAACGAATGCCCTGGCAGTGGCAAATAGCTTTGGTTTTAAATTTAATTTGATTACATTAATGTTTAAGTTGAGATTTACAATAAATATTTTAACGGCTGAATACTGCTGTATAAAAAGCACCTTATTTGTTTAAAGTGTTTGCAAATCAAATGTTATTGCACTTCTGTTCATATAGCAGTACTTTTAAATGAAAAAAAAGTGCGTAATACACTACTTTTGATTTCATTATTGAATTTTGTGCATAATGCGATTAATCGCAGAAAAATCATGCGATTAATCGCGATTTAAAAAAAAAATTTAATCGTTGCCCCGCACTAATTATAATTCATCTTAAGAAGTAGGAGTATTTAACACATTTAAGGCAGAGGTCCCCAACCACCAGGTCGCGACCCACTACCGGGTCGCAAGAACATTCTGGAAAAAATGTGTATAGATATGACACTCTGTTATTTATGTTAATGATTGTTCTAATTATTCAGTATTTTCTTTGTATGCAATTGATATGGAGTAGCAATTTCATGTTAAATAAGTAAATGAAAGATTGCTCCGATTTGTCACATATTAGGAGTTAAACGAACCGCAATTGATCCGTAATACGTATGGATGAGACCCTACCGTTCGGCACACACTTGATTCGCAGATTAATTTGCCAATTTACACATACAAGCAATTTTAAACCGCAAGAAGAAACAACGAAAGAGAGCTCAATTCGTTACTCATGCGCTGTTCTCGCACACAATCAAAGCGCACACAAGCATATAGATGCGTTTCAGACAGCGCATGTATATATATATATATATATATATATATATATAGTTAAATTAGTTTGCCATTATATGGTAGTACATTAAAATTATTCTTAAGTAGTATTTAACATACATTTAGTGTACTAACTATACTGTTTGTTGAAATTGTTATAATAATAATAATAATACTTATATTGTTAAATAAGTATTATACGGTAGTAATTATAATTCTGTCTTAATAATATGTATCTAAACATACTTTTAAGGCACTCACTATATTGTTTGCTGAAATTATTGTTATAATATAGATAGTTAAATATTATTAAATAAGTTGTGTAGTAGTATAGTAGTATATTTTGGTTACTTTAAAACCAGTGAAATCTGATGGGTTGAGCTGCATTCCTTTTATAAATCTAAGTAGTAAAGAAAACAAAACCAACAAACACACACGGCTCACCTTCCTTCCACAGCAGTAGCCCAACTCCTGCATGATGGGGTCTATTTCCTGTTCAAACACCTCAGCCAGTTTGGAGCAGTATTTATACACCCGTGATGTCTTCCTGTTATACAGCCAGGCGTTATTGAACATCAGCCACACGTCGTCCACGTACTGCCAGGGCTCCTGGTACTGACCCGTGTCCAGCTTACGCTTGATAGTGGACAAGTCCATGGGGTTTTTCACTATATCAAAGTAGTCCTGGAGAACGGAGTCCAGATCGCAGATGAAGTTCATCAGCAGGTGAAAGGGAGTTGCAGTCGGACAGAGCGAGGGACGGCGGCCCGGTGGGTTGAGAGTCAGGGGGAGAGAAGAGGGTGCAGGGGGACAATGTTGAGCGCTGTAGAAGAGGTTCACGTGCACAAACAGAGAAAAACGTAACAGACTCCCACTGCCTCACTCAATTCTGTACCCTATTTCTCTCCTGTTCTCCCATACACACAAATCTCTGGGCCAGCAGCAATGACGACAGACATCTACTGACGAACTGGGGTGGGCAAAGGTATATGAACATAATATGGTAAGATAGTAGGCTGAATCACATTACAAAATGTCAAGAAATGCCAAGAAAATTATATTTTGCATTTTGAGCTAATTTTTAAGACCTTTAAGGTTTTGCATTGTTTGCTTTAAATTCATGACAATTAAACTTCATTAATGACAATTGACACCCCCCTCCCCAAAATCCTAATGAAATATTACAAAAAATACAATAGTAAGTGTATGTTTGAAAGAATTTGCAGTAATGAATTTATGATTTTAAATAATAACACTTTACAAAGGATTCATTTGTTAACATTAGTTAACCACATTGGTTAAACTAACAATAAAAAAAAACTTTATTGATCTTAATGTTGATTCCAACATTTCCAAATACATTATTAAAATTAAACATTTTATCTATTATATATCTAATAGAGTAATAATATCCATCTAATAGAGCTGAGCTAACATTGACTAACAATGAACAGTTGTATTTTTATTGATTAACATTAACAAAGATTAATAAATACTGTAACAAATGTATTGCTCATTGTTAGTTAATGTACATATATACATATATATATATATATATATATAAAGTGTTACCATAATGATAATGAGTATTATATTTTTTATCATCATCATCATCATCAATATTCTTAATATAAATTTTAAAATTATGAAGATATTAAATGTGCTCAATTGTCACAATGATGCTGCAATGCAAAAAAAAAAAAGTCCTAAAAATAAGCATTATGCAAAATATAATTTATTGTTTTTCTTTTTATTTCGGCATTTCTTCATAATATTCACTTTTTAACCATTATGACTAATTTATTATTATGCTCTGTCATTATTTATAGCTTGGAAACTGTATTTAAAGTGCACCTATTATGCCATTTTTAAGGTTGCTAATATTGTTTTATGAGTCTCCTAAAACAGGTTTACATGCATGCAAGGTAAAAAAACACGTTAGTTTTCTCAAAAAATAGATAGAGAAGATTGTAGAGAGATTGGCTCTGGATTGGTCTACCACGTAGAGCGTGTGTCGGAAACAAAACGTCCATTGCCATGATTGAATGACAGCCCTGGAGACTTGTCAATACATAGAAAAGATGGTATCGATTGTACCTTACCAATTCGAGCCGGAGTCTGATGAAGAAATGGTTGAACTGGCTGATCGACAAGAGACTGATTTGCAAACACGACTGGAGCAGGACTTTTCTCAGTGTTAAGCGTCAAGTGTTAAGTTTGTGGTAATTATAAGATGTGATAAAACAAATTTACTCTCACAGCGTAGGATACAGCGTCTTCTCGACATGATGTTAACCACACGGAAAATTTTACTGTGTTTGTGGGCGGGCAAGTTGGCGACGTAAAACGTGGCAAACCTTATGTAAATGTGTTACTTCGAGAGGTAGAGTTGTAACAGAATAAGATTCGAATTCCTGAAGATTCGTTTAGGCGATTGCGAGACGACTTTTTTTTTTGATAGACAATAACTTTATTTATCGTGCACTGTCGGTTTCACAACTTTGCAGATAGTTTATGTTCACATACAGCTACATG